CCCCACCTGCTTGTTGACTGGCTGTTGGGGGACTCCTGCCTTCTCCACTGGCTGCTGGGGATTCACTGACCCAAAAAGTTTGAAAACCCCTGTTCTGATAAATGGTCTCTGATTTTGCTTCATCTAAATTTCTTTGTTTCACCGAAAACTTTTGGAACTGGACTGAACCAGATTTCGTGTGACTTGAAAGGAGTCCAGTCTCAGTTGGGTTGCATATCCTTGGGAAAGTAAACAGGAGGGTTTCTTATCTCCTTTCCTTGCCTGTTGTGGAATGCTGTTCAACACTGGCCTGTTTCTTCTTTACCTTAGTTCATGGTCTTCTCTGGTGAGGCTGTTTTCTTGTTTTTACAAATTATCTAAGTATCTTAACAAAAATATATCTATTATAGCAAAGTAACATCTAATACATTTGTTTACATTAATCACTGCTACTATGTAGATAAAACTATGATATGGTGTATTTGGACGATTTAATGTATGGTCTTCCCTTATGTCTCCTTTCAAGCCTTGTACTTTGTTTAATTGTGTTTAGCTAAATAAGCGTATGGCTTCCTTTACTTTGCTGACCAAACTAATTGTCATATCTGCAAAGGTCCATGCTATGGTCACTCAAACAGGCTTGAAGGCCTTCTGCTTAGCCAGACTTCTGCAGCTTGGCCTAGGTCCCTTGCAAATGGCCAAGGCTGGCAACAGCATGTAATTGTATCTTGTGTGCTTGCACATGCTGCTGGAAGGAGGTATGTGTATTTGGGTGGAGAGTGCTTAACAATTAAGGTTTTATTAAATGGAAGTACACCTGCTTTATACATCCTTTGTGCCTGGACTTCATTTCAGAACAATATCCAGCAAGACAACAGTGAAGCTGGAACACAGTCCCAGGTACAAACTGATGAGCAACAAACATCACAATCTCCCCCTTCATCAGAACCTCCCTCTGAAGAAAACAAAAACCCAGAAAGCAAGAAAGTGAGTGACCCTTTAAACTCATTCTGTTGAAAAAAGTTACAACGTCTTATGCTGGTCTTTAAAACTGTAGTTCTACAAAGTTGTAAGCAACTTGATGCCCTTGTAGCATATTATGTTAATACTTTTTTGCATATTAATTTGTCTGAAATCACTGATGTGTACAGCTATTTAAGATGAGATGAAGTGGGCAAAAATCTAATCATCCATGCTTCAGCCTTCTGAAGGAACTAAGCTTCCCCTTCAGACCCCCACATTTTCTGTTAATAATATGTCTTTATTATAGTGCTTTGAAGGAATTTCAGATTTTGTAATAACCTCTGCTAGAGTTGCTATGACAAACTGGGGAATCCAGACTAAAAAGGAAATTCTAGAATACAAGGGCATGCAGCTTGCAAAGCAAAACAAAGTCTTTCCTGCAAAGGGCCTATAATCAAACTCTCAACATTTAAAGCGTAACTCCAAGAATTACCACTAAAAAGAATCAAACAGCAACTAGAATCAGCCTGAGGCTGCTAGCAGTTTGCACTTATTTTTTACCATGTGTTCTGATGATGAGCACAGCATGTCAGTGTTGATGCTTGCAATCAAAAGCTAGAGATTCTAAAGAATGGCTTGTTGCTGATGATAGAACATACTTCTGGTAACTGCCCGCCCTGTTTCCTCAACCCCATTCATGATATGGAGATACCTGGCCATAGATGAAGTGGAACAAGACTGGAATAGCTAAGAAGCAAACTGTCTCTGTTGGGGGTTTTGGAGGAAAGCTGAGAAACTGTTAGTCCATGTTCCTTTGAATAGCATCGCTGGGGAGAGAGTGGAGGCCTTTGTTATAGGGCTCCCTATTGCAAGATGTCAGAAACATGATCTTGTTTCTCTTTTGTCCAATCCAGACAAATGAGAAGAAAAGTGATCAACCACCAGAAGCTAAAAAACCCAAGATAAAGATGAAGAATGTGGAGCTGCCTATTGAAGCTAACTTGGTCTGGCAGTTAGGGAAAGACCTACTCAATATGTATATTGAAACAGAAGTGAGTTAAGTAGCCTTGCTTAAGGAGACCTGTTCTAATCTACTTGCTGTTAAACATCACCTAAGCAACAGAACACTTTTTAGATATAAAAATCGAACACAGCATCTTTCATTAAAGCTGATTCATGCTGAGTTAATGCAATGCCAAAATAATATCATTTTGAATGACAGTATGATAATTACTGATCCACGGAGTGAGAGCACAAATTGGTTTAGAACTGTCAATATTTTGACAAAGATGGCCCAAGGCCTTTCAGAGAGTCTAACATTCTGCACTGTTGTAAGATTCTACTTTTGTGCTTAACATTGCTCTAATAAAATAGAATTTTTTCCCCATGATCCAAATAGGGCAGGATGATTATGCAAGACAAGCTGGAGAAAGAAAGAAATGATGCTAAGAATGCTGTAGAGGAGTATGTGTATGAGTTCAGGGACAAGCTGTCTGGACCATATGAAAAGTTTGTCTGTGAGCATGTAAGTTGTAACTTTTAATAGTTAACTGAAAAGCCTTCCCTTCAACATCTCCCTTTTTTTTTCATTTCACACTTTTGCCTTAACAATTTTGCAGAAGAAATACCTGGAATTCTGTGCACTTGGATGGTAACTTGCAAACCTTTAGAGTTGTGTTTTTACTTGCAAAAAGTGTGCCTGCTGTCTTCAAGATTGTCTCAGAATGGCTGCAATTAGTATTTTGGAAATAGTAGTAGTTCACTAATCTAAATCTCACCAGTCCTACGCTCTGTTGGTAACACTTGAACTCGGGAGCAGAATAGGACTGGGATCTGGAGTGGCAGGCATGACAGCTCAATCTGAATGGGTAAAGAGCAAACAGTTGGAGGCAACTGGTGGTGAGGACACAAAGCCATCATGCAAAAGCAGGAAGAGGTACAAAAAAACTAAAGCTATTGAAAATGAAATGGAAGGGAACAAAATATATTTAGTCTGAAGAGAATTTCAAAGCAATTTCACCCTACAGCAAGAATGTCAAACATGGCTTGTGGACTGGATCCAGCCCACAGAGCCATGTCATATGGTCTTTTGGGCTCCTAGAAGGGCTGGGAATTCAGGGGTGAGGCTCTTTTCTGAAATCTGAGGCCCAAAATGAATGGGGGTGAACAATAGCTGCATTAAGCCCCTTGCTGTTGCATCAGAATGCAACCAGGGGGAGTTTGACACTCCTGCCCTACAGTATCTATATCATTAACCACCACTAAGTTTGGTTAGTGATCACATAGTCATCTTATTGTAGATGCACTGATACATTGGTCGCATATCGGATGGCATCAATAAAAGGAAAATTAACATTACCAGCAATTGGCTTTTTTGGCTGGTGTAGCCAGTAATATCACCAATAAATGCCGCATGTTATGTGCACAGCTGCAGCATGCATGCAGCCAGAAATGCAGCCTGGCAGTGTGGAGAGGCAGCATCTGGCCTGTGGTGGGGTGGGAAGGAAAGAGGTGTGTTTGGGTGGGGGGTACAGATTGAGGTCTCCAAAGTGAGGGAGGGAGTGGGATGGGCAGGTGCTACCTACCCAAGGTGATGAATGACCCCAGCCAGGAGTGGGACAGAGCCTTGTGGGTGGCTGATCAGGGGGTGGCAGCTCCCCACTGCTGTGTGCACCCCTGAGAAGCATAGGGGGCCTGTGCTCCCCTGGATTTGTGCATGGGGCAAAAGTGGGCTGCCCACTGGGCTCAGGGCCAGGGCTGCGCCAGCCTCTTCCTGGCAGGGAGCTGGACTGAAGCTGGGCTCCAAAGGGGTGGGGCAGGTGGTAGCACTCAGCCCAACCCATAGCCACCCCAAAATTTGCCATAGTCACCCTTCCTAGTGCTGCTGCCACCTGCCCCACCCCCACCCAGAGCCCAGCCCAGCATCCCTGCTGGGAAGAGGCTGGTGCAAGCCCTGGCCCCAACCCTACAGCCCACCCTCCCCCTGTTTAACACATCTGGGGGGAGGGGGAGCAGTGGTGGGGAGCAGCCCCCTCCTTGCATCCTGTACCGCCTGGATGAGATGCCCCAGCCCCAGGGTCACATTTGCTGTCCTAGCTGGGCAGCACCTGCCCATTCCCTCCCTCACTGTGGGGGCCTCTTTTTCCTGCCCCTTCCCACGCACAGACTTACTGGCGGGATGCTGCTTTCTAAGCTGCCAGGCTGTATTCCTCTTAAAATGGCTATTCAGTTGGTATTGGCCAGTACCAATAGTCAGTTATTAAGCAGCCATATTGGCCAAGAAAATCTTTCAGTGCACCCCTGCTACTTACATGATGCAAGGTCCTAGTTATAGATCAAACACAGACTATTTGAAAAATGAGATGTGCCTGTGCTTGCTGCAGCTGATCCTTTAAAATGAAAAAGGCAGAACAACATAGAATGTCTGCTGCAGCCTGTCCCTGGCTTTAACAGGGCACCATTTAAACTTTTATCTGCGGTCAGCTTGGGCGCACCCCTTGGGCTCAAAAATGAGGCAGCTTTCTCAGATTTTCCAGGGTTACAATGTTGAGAGATTTCTTATAGTTGGCTAGAGCCATACTTTTATTCTCAGCCAGTGGTAGAACTGTTGCCGCATGTTCTCCAAACTGGTCTGCATTTTTCTTCCATCTTTTTGCCAAATGATGTTATAGCAGCATTGTATGCGTTAGTCTTTGACTGAAACTCTGTGGTGATATTTGGAAAGCAGCTGATGCAGGAGATAGCTGAGGAATATATAAAGGCATCAAACAAGCAATTGGTCCAGTCAAGGAAGATAGTTCTGCTGAAAGACTTTAAATAGAAATATCATTACTGATAAAAACAACTTGAGCATTGGATTGAACAGTATGGAATTCTGTACTCAGTGTTTGATTTCAGTTTCACTGACTAGCTTGAAGAATTAACACATTTTGAAGTTGATGGATTTGGACAACAAACCTGTATTAGAAGATTTGCAGAAAGCCATTAAATCGATTCCTGGGTACAAGGCACCTGGCAGAGATCTTCTTGCCTGCTGAAATCTACAACTGTGCCAACAATTAATTACTTTGAAAGCTTTATGATGTTATAGTACTCTAGAAAGAAGTGCAATTATGCAAAAATAAAAGGGGTAGAAGTGACTGACAACCATTGAGGTATCTACCTGTTGAACATCACTGAAAATGTTGTCACTTGCATCAAATTACCTAGGTTGCAATCTCTAGGGGTGTCTGTACATGAGCATGGAGGCTGCTTTGACATGCTGTAATTCCAGCATGTCAGAGCAGTTTGCTGGAGCATGGTAATTACTTTCTTGTTGAACAAGCTTTAGTTCAAGCACCCCTGCTGCCAGAACTAGCCTAGGGGTGTGCAGGGCCTGGGGCAGATCAGCTTGTGCTGGGGAGGGCGGTGAGTGACCAGAGTGCAAAGCCAGTAGCAGCTGTGCTGAGCGGTGATGTCCACAGGGCCCCTGAAAATGAAGGGCCTGGGGCAGTCACCCTATCGCACAAGTTAGAGTAACCTTAGGACTGGACTGTTCAAAATCTAATAGAATACTACAGCTTATCTTTCTCCATTTTCCTTTCCTTGATGCTTTTTGTATTCTGAGCCAAATTTAAATTTTATTCTTAGGATCTTGAAAGATTCTCAGCACTCCTTACAGAGACAGAAAACTGGTTGTATGAGGAGGGAGAAGACCAAACTAAACAGGTGTACCTAGACAAATTGGATGATTTAAAGGTGGGTACATTTGCATGCTTATAAATTGTACCTTCTGAAGTGCAGCAGGAACAAATTTTAGTAAGTGTGGATGTGAAGTATAGAATTAATAGAAAGTCTTAATACTTCAGAAACTAGGTACCCCAATTGAAGCGCGGTATCAAGAAGCTGAAGAACGTCCAAGGATATTGGAAGAACTGGGGTGCAAGCTTCAGAATTATACCATAATAGCAGCAGAATACAGAAATAAGGTCAGTAACTTCACTAGTAAAGGGGTAAACTTTGTCAGGCTGTATTTGAGGCACAGAAAATGAGTGAACAGCTGCCTTAACCTTTGTTGCACCACAGATGCCCAAAATTATAAGTGCCACAATTCCTAGTCCTAGTTTGTGCTGTCATTTCACAGCCAATGTCTGTTTGCTTATGGTGGGAGAGTGTGGGCAGCACAGGGCTGCCCGTGCTTTCCAGCTGCTTTAAATGAGTACTCCTAGGGCTTCAGGAGCCTGATCCTGTGTGCTCTGGAAATCCCACTGCAAGCCTTTCTTACTGCTGGGCCCCAGGTCAGGGTGTTGTTCTGCAAGCACGGAGGGGGTGATGTCTTAATTGCATTGTGGGGTCAGCTTCCATGGCTGTTGCCCTGCAAGGTCATGCCTCTAGAGCAACAGGAACCCAGCCTTGTGGGGAAAGAGCCCAGTGATGTCTGTAGATGCCAGTGGAGTGGGATCAGCTGTGCTGGTATGTGCCCTGGCATAGCTGATTTTTAAGTAAATACTGTCTGTTTATATACACTTAGGGTGCTGGCAAGTGTGGGGGAGGGGGAAGTGCTGTTTAATAGAAGCAGTAGCCTGTTACCTCAACCTGGCTCCAGGGTGCTTCTGTGGAGCTTTTTGGTGGCTTTAGCTAAAGCTAATTCAATCGGCTATTAAATAAAGTACCATTTTTTTCTACATCTGTAAGCAGCTTTAGACTCTTAACATATGAAAGGGGTATAATACTTGCTCTTCATTCTGCTCTTAAGGTTACTGTGCCATAAAACTGTTATGAGCAGAAACGTCTTTTCCACAGCAAGTCTAATTGCTCATGTGTCTTTCAAAAGGCTTAAGAGTAAAAATTTATGTTAACACCCTGTTGTCCAGATATGAGATACATGGAGCAATGTATCCACAAAGGATAATGTCTCATGTTTAAACAAAACTTGCATAATATTTGAAGACCCAAATCCTCCAGCCAAAATGTGTGTGATGAGTATTGTTCTTCTCCCTCTGTTGCCACTGGCTGCAGTATCACCCACAGATCCTAGGGCAGGGGCTTCTAAAACATCCTCCAGCCTGCCTGGTTCATGAACACACAAGCTTCAGAAAGCTGTCACGACACTGAGTAGCTCCATCTGGCATTATCTTTCCTCTGCTGTAGCCCAACAGTACTGGGTCAGCTGGGTTTTTGAAACCTATAGAGGAGAGGCCAGGATTTGCCCTTTCAACATATGCATAAGGAATATGTTCACTGAGAAACAAATTCTTACAAAACCTCACGGATGAAGTTTAAGATGCAAAATATCTGAAGCTGCTCCATTGTTTCTTGTAGGATGAGAAGTTCAGCCACATCGATGAAACAGAAATAATGAAAGTAGAGAAGTGTGCTGGTGAAGTGCTGGAGTGGATGAATAATGTTGTGAATGCACAGGCTAAAAAGAGCCTTGATCAGGATCCAGTTGTACATTCAAGTGAAATCAAAGCAAAGCTAAAGGTAAGTGTGGCAGGAAATTAATTCCAGGGCCTGGAGATACAGCCCAGCCATAATCTAGAATGCATGGTCTCAAATTTCATCCAATTCATCAGAAGCATTAGAGTAATTTGGAGAATCTGAGTAGCTCCAGGTGGCAGTGGGTCACAAGAAGCAAGGAAGATTACATAGCAGATTGTTAAAAACAAAAACAACACTTTGGAGGGTAGAGTACGCCTAGATTGCATCCGTCTAACTTTGTGTTTTTAAATATAGCTTTTAGCCAGATTTAGAAATTAAAACTTCTTTACGTGATTGGCAAGCGCAATATAGCAAAGCATTATTTATACTCTGTGCCAAAGAGTTTTATAGAGGAAGATAATTAACGTAGTGCACAGTGTTAAGCATCTCCACTCTCACTGGGCATAGGAAGCCTGGTTCAGACATTTGAAAACCCTGTTTGCTTTTTTAGACAGTAGGGCTGGGTCACTCATGAGCCTGGTGATCAAGTAAAGTACACAGAGTGCCTTTTTTATCCTAGGAGTTAACCAATATATGTGAGCCTATTGTGACACAGCCAAAACCAAAAGTTGACTCTCCTAAGGAAGAAAATCCATTGAATGGACCTGGTGACTTTAAAACTGAAGAGCTGGAAGAAGATAAAAATGCTGAAATACCTCAGCAGAACGGTGAATGCCATCCTAGTGACCAGACCACCACTAGCATGGACTTGGACTAGACCATGCATTGCACTGAACAATTTCATCTCATGAAAGAAAATATTTTTTTTCAGTAGTTGGGGATGTGAGAGGAAAACATGCAGTCTTGAGAACTATTTATATTTTTTTCTTTAAATTGTCTGGACTTCGTTGTATTATGGAGGTGGGGAACAAGAGCTGTCATCATGATTATCCTAAAAGGAAAATTGTCTTGGTAACTTTCAGATTCCTGTGGAATTGTGAATTCATACAAAGCTTCTGTGCAGTATTTAGCCATTTGCATCACTAAGGATGAAATCTTGCTATGAAATGTCCTGTTCTTTTTCAGAAGATTGGAACTAAAACCTTGTGTAGATGCTTGTAGATGCCAAGGTAGTTTTCTTTCATCTTGACGTCTAATTTGGCATGTCTGTAAGAAGCCAGTGTCTCTTCCATTCATAAAGGCTTTTCAAAATATTTTTTATTTTATTCTTTCTTTTTCAAAGTCTGAAATGTTTGCTAGATATTGAGATGGTGAAACATGGTAAGTAGCATGCACAAATGCTTTGCTTCTGTCTCTTGCTGAAAAGAACATTTTCATGTGGAGAAAATAAAATGAAAGAAATGTTGATTCTGTCATTGTGAAGCCTTTTAATGAGCTTTAAAATAAAGTTCATCTAAATGGTATTTATGAAATGTTGGTTTTGACTGTTTTCCATATCTGCTGCCTTTTTTATTATAACTAGTAAAACAATTGAGAATAGCTGCATCACAGAATTTTTCACAGCAAGTATTCAGATGCTTGGTATGAAAGAACTACTGGAATGTGCCCTAACCAGGGCCATTGCTCTTACTGTCTCTTAAAACTGCGCAACATAGAGCTCACCTGTGAACTACAGAAATAATGGAAAGATTTTGATGATGTTGCCCTATTTATTTTTGTACCAAACCTGATAGGTTGCAGCTGCACAAAAGCTAGTGTAATCTTCAGTCATTTTAACAATATCAAGGAGTCCTTATTATAAAAGCATGTCTATTTAAAAAGATTTTGTTCCAGTTTAACATTTCACTTGAGTGATTATTTGGAATGCCAAGTGTATGGTCAGCACCACTTAGAAAGAGAAAAAAGTCGTTGCAGAATCTACAGTACAACACATTAGACACTAGAACAATAAAGGTTGGAAAAGGTAAAAGGAGTTGTTTAAAATTTCTATAGGGTTTCAAAAAAAACAACAGTTCTTAGACTAGTTCTCCAAATCACTAGGAATAAGCTTTGTTACCATTAAAGTGATATGATTTTTTTTTTATACTCAAGTCACCTACAGGAAGCTATTGTTTCAGTTTTCCCCTAACCATTCTTTATAAAATGTCTGTACCAAGAACAGCTACATCAGGCTTTTTACAAATTGTTGTGGTGCTGACCATTTCATAATACTTGATAGTACGATAAGGGCTCAGTCCCCCATGCTTAAGTGGTCTGGTTAAATTCTTGAACCGCTCATGCTTCAAACTGGGTGAAGGAAAGAATAAAAGCATGAATTAGTAATTCTACTATGTATAATTTAAGGCCTAATCTAGGTATCTATATAGAAAACACAGCAAAAACATGAATGTGTGGCCTTGCTTTCAGTTTTACCTTTTGCCCACAGCTTCTGTGCAAGACCATTTGTCAACTTCCTCTTTGATATCTGGATCAGTAATAGTAACTTGAGAGAGCTTATGGTTGTAGCTCCCCTCATGCTAAAATACATAAAGGAGAAGACAAATGCAAGATTTATTTAGTCTCCTGATAGACTTGGTCTCTGCTGTGAGAAGTCCTATTACTGTTTGGGTTGCTTTACAGAATTTACCTATTTAAATACTGGAGAAAAATACACTTGCTCTAATTCACATTTGAAATGTGAACTGTAGGCCTTGAACACAAATTTATTTCATTTATTATTACACTTACTAGGAAAAATCTCTCAATTCTATTGTAAAATCCCGGGTTAGAACCCTTGCAACAACTATTTTGTGAAGACTGTTATTAGTAAGAAGAGTATGTACTTAGCACTACTGTTCAGTATTTGTTCACTATTTGGAACATGCTGTAGATCAGGGGTTTTCAACCTTTTTTGATCATTATAGCAAACATGAAGGAGTGGGGGGGGGGGGGAGAGAGAGAGTTGTGCAGCCAGACACTGAGCAGGGGGGAGGTGGGCATGGCATGGGGTGCAGAGAGGTGGCAGCCAGCGTGTGCAAGCTTTCCTTCACCCCACTCTGCTGCTGTTGCCCCTCCACCACCACGTCTGGCTACATGCCTCTGTAGGGTGGGGGAAGCGGCATGTGGCAGCTACCCATGCATACCTCCTAGGGCAGGGGTGGGCAAAATACAGCCTGCCAAGCACTTCCCTCCAGCCTGTGGAGCCCCTTCAAAACCCACATAACAGTCGCTGCCTCTCTAAAAGCCTCTGGTGGCAGCAGTTGCTGGCTGCAGCACCTCAGGCTGTTTCCTTGGGTTCTGAGTGAGGCAACGAACTGGCCTCACCCCACCCCTGGCTCAGGCCATGTTTTCAGCTTGAGAGGGGCAGGGGGGCTGGGCCAGAGCCTGTGGCACTGGTGAGGGGAAACAGTGCCTGGGCCAGCTTCTGCTTTGCAGCATGGGCCTGGAAAGGGCCCTGCCCTGCAGGTAAGCCCAGGAAAGCGGTTACTGGGTAGGCTTTCCCCATGCTGTGCAGGGTCAGGCTGGGCTGGCACTGGGGAGAGGAAGCAGCAGCTGGGCTGCAGCTCTGGCCCAGTCCACATGAGGGAGGAGAGGTGGCGGTGGAGCAGTGTGCTGCTTAGGACAGGATGAGCCCAGCTGGAGCAGCAGGGGCTCAGCTGCATTTTCCCTCTGTCTGCACTGGTCAGTTCCGCGTGGCGCACAGTTCTGCTGCCACTCACCCCATCCCCAGCAGTACATGGGAAGCTGGTTTCAGCCACATGCTGCTCCAGATGGGATGGACCTGGCCAGGTCTGCACCAGCCAGAAAAGGTGGCCTGCAGCTGAAGTCTGCTTCTCCATGCTGCTGGGGACAGGAAGAGCCCAGCTGGGCCTGCATGGGCCAGCAGAAGCGGTGGCAGAGCTTTGTGCTGCTCAGGACAGGACGAGCCTGGCAGGAGCAGCAAAGGCTCAGCTGCACTTTGCCCCTGACTGCTATGTGCCACTGTCCCAGTGTGTGTGGCTCAGGACTGGATGAGCCCAGCCAGAGCGGCAGGGGTTCAGCTGCACTTTCCCCCTGCCTGCACTGGTCAGGCCTGAGCGGCACACAGCTCCGCCACCACTTCTGCTGGCCAGTGAACCCAGCCCATCTGGAGTGGCATGTGGCTGAAGCCAGTTTCCCATGTGCTAATGGGGGTGGAAGGAGCCTGGCCAGGTTGGCACCAGGCAGCAGAATAAGTGGTGTAGCCGTGTGCTGATTGTGACTGGACAAGCCTGGCCAGAGCAGCAGGGGCTCAGCTGCACTTTCCCCCTGCCTGGACCAGTCAGTCCCCAGTGACATGCACAGCTCTGCCTCCACTTCTGCGGGCTGGTGCTGACCTGGCCTGGCTCCTCCCATTCCCAGCAGCACATGGGAAGCCTGCTTCAGCCACATGCTGCTCAGGATGGTATGGGATAGGCCCAGCTGGGTCTTTGCTGCCACTTCTGCTGGCCAGTGGAGCTGTGCGCCACTGGGGACTGACCAGTGCAGGCAGGGGCAAAATGCAGCTGGGCTCATCCAGTCCTGAGCCACACCCTGCTCCACTACCACTTCTGCTCTCATCCCCAGCTGGGTCCATCCCATCTGAAGCAGCATATGGCTGAAGCTAGCTTCCCACATGTTGCTGGAGACGGGGCCAGCCCAACTGGGTTGGTACTGGCCAGCAGAAGCAGCAGAGGAGCGGCTTCCTTTTGGGACCAGCTGGCACGGGTAGGGGGAAAGTGCAGCAGCATTTGGGAAGCCACCACTTGATAGGGGATGGGATGGGAAGGGCCCCACCAGGGAAGGAAAACTGGCTGAGCCCCCTGTGGCTTGGGACAGGAGGGGGCCCTACAGCACCAGAGCTGAGGGGACCTGGGCCTGGGCTGGCTTCTGCTGTGCTGGGGAGGGGGGCTGGGATGGGTCAGGGCCAGGTCATGCTGGCACCAGTGATGGGGGGGGGCATTGGCCAGCTTTTGATGCCTGGGGCCTGATGGGGTGGGCTGGGTCCTTGCTTGTGGGAAGGGTCTGGTGACCAGTACTGGTCAGGGGAAGGGAAGCTGGGGCAAGATGTTAGAGGAGTCACAACATGGTAAGTTGTGCAAGGGGAGGGATTTCTTGTGGCAAAGGTCAGGGGGTGGGACTTCTGGCCCCAAGATTGTGACCAGGGGCTGGGGCATCTGAAGGGATGGGGCTACCCATGTGGCCTTTGACAGCTTGCCAAAACTCACTGAGTGGCCTGCTGCCTGAAATAATTTCCTGGCCCTGTCCTAGGGCCTGATCTAGTATCCTTGGGGATACTTATACCCTCAGTTGACAACCCCTGCTGTAGATTATCATCAATACCAGGGTGTAGTGTGTGTAGACTGACTTTAACTACAAAGCACTCTTAAGCTGCTTAACATTTTAACTGTGGATAAAGTCTGAACTTTCTTCCTTGTATCATAAGACTTTTTATTTGATTAGTATTACTAGACAACGAGGAAGACTAAGGGATCTGGAACTGTTCAGCCTGGGGAAGAGAAGATTGGGGGGGGGGGTGACTGTTTGTAAGTGTTTGAGGGGTAAATACAAGGAGTGGGGAGAAAAACTGTTCACTAGGATACCCCAAGGGAGGACAAGGAGCAATAACTATAAGCTGTTTCAGGTTGGATGCAAGGAAAAACTTCCTTGTGGTAAGAGTGACCACAATCTGGAATAGATTTTCCAGGGAGGCGGTGCAGTCCCCAACCCTGCAAGTCATCAAGAGGAGACTGGACAGACACCTGGCTGAGATTACTTGATCTCAGCCATAGTCCTGCCCAGAACAGAGGGATTGGACTCTGTAGTCTTCTGAGGTCTCTTCCAGTCCTTAATTTCTATGATTCTATGACTTAAAATTCATTTTTTTTAAAGCAAAGCCTTCTGTACCACACTTCCTAAACACCCCTCTTGCTGAAGTTAGAGATTCAGCTTCTTTTGCTTTTGTATATAGTGGGATTGAGAAATAAGTACTTTTACACCAAAGGAAAAGTTACTGTAAAAACATGGATGATATATAGAAACTATTGAAAAGTGTATTGCAGTTGTTAACTAGGGCAGTGGTCTCCAAAGTGGTGGGGTGTGGGAAGAAAATATTGGAACTTCTATTTATATGCCATTTTTTTAGATAAAAAATAAATAAATTAAGCTTTACTTATATTTAATATATGGATTGCCACTGGTGCCCTTGTTCAGTATGTATGTCAGACGGTCATGTGTCACATACGGTACACGAGGTATCCTGAGGGAAGAGTGGGAGTTCCACAACGCAGAGGGGTTGAAAGTGGTGCCCTCACTCGTTTGTTCACTTTCAGCATATTGTGACATGTATTGGGGGTGCATGCTCAAAATCTTTACCAACAGGGGTGCAGGATCAAAAAAGTTTGGAAACCACTGAGCTAGGGCACCATGTAATCCTTAGAAGCTGTGAGCCCTACCCCCTAGGGTGCTGTAATACAGACACTACTGCTACAGTGGCAGAAGCTTGTTCAGACTATCCTGTGCATGCTTGTGCTGCATTAGGACACTGGTCAGCCTGCAGCAGCCTTTCCTGATCCAGCCCCTCCCACCTACCTCCTAGAGCCAAGAGCACAGGACAGTGCTGCTAGGAAAGACCAAAGTAAAAGAACAGAATGAGTCAGTGCCTGCCTGCCTGCTTTAGGCTTATCACAGCCCTAATGCAGGAGTGTGGGCCCATGCCACAGCCCTTCCCCATGTGACTGTACAACTGATACACAGGGCACTTCTGTCTTGAAGGAGCAACACCCAGTGGGAAAGTACTGAGGGGAGCAGAGGCAGCACCAACAGTAGTTCTCAACCAGGGATGCTGTTATCTTCAGAATAGTGGTGGGGGGGGGGCCCTGAGAACCACTGATATATTAAAAAGGGAATGGTGTGGTTATGGCATCTTGTTACAGCTTGAAGTTCAAGCTTTACCCTAGGTTCAAGCCAAATGCACTACTCCCCAGAAGCTAAGAGTCATCTTGGAACCTAATTCCTAAAATAACAAAGTCACATTGATCTACCTCTGCTCAGTCATGACACCCTAGTCTTTGTCAGTTGTGGTGCTAGCAACCATAGCACTGCTGAGCCTCTAAGGGTGTTGCGGATTAGTTCTCCCCAGATGGAGCACTGTCATTTAATACAGAAAAATGTACATCAGGTTGAGGTCTGCCTACCTCACAAGCCTGACCAGGTCAGCCTGTATTGCCAATGTGTCTTAAAGTGTGACCACGCTCCCCCATAGTTTGGTGTCATCAGTAAATTTTGCCAGTTTCTTTATAATACCCAAATCAAAATTGGTGATGAACATGTTGAAGAGCACTGAACTGAGTTGATTAATGTTAAAAATCAAGCCGAGATCTGCTCCCTGTGAGATACTGGTACAACTCCATCTACTCAATAGACTGTTCCTGTTTACAATTATAGATTGATACCTATCAGTTAGTTAACCAGTATTTAATGTGTCCCTTGCTGAATTTGTATCTAAGGTCTCTTCATCAACATATTGTATTAAGGCAAATGCCGCACAAAAACTTGTGTATCATCATAGCTGCATCTTGCTTTGCTAGAGAATAAGAGGAGCCACATTCTTAACAGGAAACTGTTGCTATCTACACAAACCTTAGATAAAGAGTTCTCTCGAGCTGCATCATTTTGGTCTGAGCTTATGATTTGCCAGACTGAAGTTTCTCCTCCCAACACTGGATGATGGGGCATGCTCTGAGGATCTATCAGAATTTCAAAGGGCACCATGGGATGTTTCCAGGAGGCAGGAGTAAAAATTTCCCAAGGTTCTTCTTGGCCAAAAGTCCCTAAAAGGGGAGGAAAAATATATGAGAATGAGACACATGGGTATTATGCTTCAACATGCACAGCCATAGACCTGTACAGAAGTTAACAGGTTGCAACTAGAGCTGGTCAAGAGTTTTCCAACAGATGTTTTTCTTTGGGAAAATGCTCATTTGATACAAATCAAAATGGTGCATCTCCATTTCAATAAAGCTTTGGTTGGCAAAGTTTGGATGGCTTCAGAAGGGATAGCCAATAGCTTGGTAGTCACGTTACTACCAGAACCTGAGAGACCTAGGTTCAAGGCCCTACTGTACTTGATCTCTGGTCTCATGAATAATTATGTAGAAAAAGAAGAACATCTCCAATAAGAAAGACTGAGAGAAGCTGATTGTTGAGCCAGCAGACAATCCAAACACCAGGCAATGCAAAACTGAACTTAGCTCTTACATTAAGAAATGAATACTTTTCCCACCAGGTCCTGATCTGCCTGTGTACACATGCCTTTGTTTCATTAAAACCCTTCCAGGGTGAGAGGGGTGGTGGAGAAGCCATTTCTTCTGAGCTTTTAGGCTTGATTCTCTTGGAAAATTTTCCTTTGTTGTACGTACAAACTTTTGCTGCTGGGAAGAATTTTTTAAAACAAATTTAGCCAAGAAAGAGTACTTGCTAAAATTCTAATTCATCCCCACACTAAATTAGCTCTTTTTCTGGTTGCTAACTATCAGAAGCTTTTATTCCATGAGGGCCTGATTCAGTGCGTACTGAGATCACAACCAGAACTCTTCTTGCTAGTATGTGTCAGAGAAGATAAAATGGTAGTGTGGTCATGTTAAATGGTAGACAGTGAGGTGGAAATCTAGAATCACTTGTTGCCAGCTTTGGCCATCTTTAAGGGGGAGGTGGGTCTATGCCAAGCTGCAGCAGTGCTCATTAGGGCTGTGCAAAGCTTTGGGTGCCGATTCAATTCAGAGGCAATTTGGCCTGATTCAGTGGCTGAATCTCCAAATCTGAATCAAATTGGGACCAATAAAAGGGTCCAAATTGATTTGAAGCTCTCCAAATCTTCGGAAAAGATTTGGGGAGCTTCAGTGATTCGGGCAGTCCCTACCTGCTGCAGCAGGGAGCTGGAGCTGGTAAGTAGGGGGCAGGACTATGGGGCAGCACCTGGTGAGTGGGCTTTTTTTGAAAGCCCCGGGAGCTGGGATGGGTGGGGAGCCGCAGGGGCAGGGGGACCACAGGGATGGGGCCTGGCAGCATCACTCCTCTCATTCACCAGTTCCTTCATCTCCTATCTTGCCTCTATTTCAATTGCACCGAGTAACCTCACTATCTAAGCTACCTAAGCAGTTTTCACTGGTACTAGTGGGGTCATGGAAAGCAAAGCAATCCTGGATCTGTTGGCTGCATCTCTGGTTTTGGTCAAGGGAGCCATACATGTTCCTAGGTCCAGTATAGGTCAGCATCCACCTTGTGCTCTATCCTTTATATTCTATCCTTCAAACCTTCCTCTTCTGGAAGTGCCAGCATTTCCACAAGAGGAAGCATCTTTCATCAGGAGTCCCCTCAGCAAACCATCCTCTGGACAAACAGACGGAACCCTTTGACGAGGTGGATGTAGCCCATTGCCTCTAAAGGCACTACTTTCCCCTCCATTTCTGTTTCTTTCTTGTTTCTACACACATGAATCAATACATCTGGCTATATCTTTGAGGTGCCTACTCCAAATGCCCCTAATGTACCCTTTTTCAGGGGTCTTTGTCGTAAGGTTTTTGCTTAGACAAGGTCTCTCATCTTTCACATCACCATCATGCTTTGAAAGCTTTGATTTGGTGGTAAGCCAGGACTGCTACCAAAACAAGGCCCTTCTGTTTGGATTTACAGTGACCCTGGGAATCTTCACCAAGCTCCTAACAATGGTGGCAGTCTACCTAAGAAGGAAAAAACTATCTGGGTATTGAAGAACTGAACTTCCAAATCATTGTGTCCTTGTTCCTTTGACATCACAGTAAACACCCCAACATCAAACCTGATCCCAATTTCAGAAACTGAAATTTATAGGTCTCACACTAGACTTTATGCTGACCAGAGCCTACCTTCCTCAAGAGTAATTCCAGTCCTTATTGGACATTGTTACACAAGTCAAGGACAATCTGACAACTGTCAGGATTTGCTTATCCATCTAAGAGACATGGTCTCCTACACTTACGTGATGCTGCATGCCAGACTACACCTCAGATATGCAGCCATTGTATAATGCTTCTACTTCCAGGAAGATGTATGGGCAAGGAGTTAGCCATTCTTCTGCTAGCTGGGTCATTCCTTGCTTGGTGGAAATACCCAGCTGACATCTGCTGGGATCCTGTTTCTCTCTTCCTGAGATTAGGAGTTGTGATTAACAGTTGGAAGGTGCACATGAAAAACCTTCAAGGACAAGGTCTTTGGCCTTCAAATGATAAGCTGCTACTGAACATTTTGGAATTTAAGGTAGTCCACAGCACTAGCCAGGTGTTTGTGGGTCATAATCTGGATTTATGTGCTACAATATGATCACCATCACTACTGTCACGCGCACACCATAATGGTGGCATCGATGCACGAGGCACCAAGATGGCGAGCCCTGTCCTTCTTCCCCACAACCATCACAAAAGGGTAAAACAAACGCTGCCATACCATTACTTTCATTATCAGAGTGTCACCAACATAGGTGAGGTCAGCTAGTCTGCAACGCCAAATAAGGCCGGGACACAGAACCCTGAGAGGTGATAGATGAAAACAGCCAGCTCACCGCTGAGCGCGTCACCCAAGTGATATAAGGGAGTGCACAGCTGCACCCAGGCGAGGTTATTCATCACCCGCTTCGATTATCACAAGGGATGCTAGCCTGATCACCTAGCTTCCGCCTCCCGTTTGCAATTAGCAACCACCGAACGCCGCTTCATTGCTGGCCCCGACATGATTAGCACTCTACTTCTCTGCATCTCGTTTCTCTCCTCAACGCTCACTGTGAGTAAATAAACCTCTACCTTCAACTACTCTCTGCCTCCGTGACTATCACCTCACCTCCAGTCTCTTTGGGCGACGTGAGCTGGACTCGCGTTAACCGTCCCATAGAGAGCTAACCGGCCTTTCTAGCCCCTCCATTCTGGTCCCTTGCGCTGTGATCAGACAGCAGCATGACAACTACTACCATGTTTGACAAACTGATAGAGGAATGAAAGCTTCCCTCCTGTACTAAACAGCAATCAGTTCTGCACTTTTCGGATTTTCAAAATACCTGAAAGGACAACCTTAGAAGGCACCACAAATGGATTATCAAAGACAAATATCTTCATGATATTTTCTTGGACTTGGACCGTCTGGAGATCAAGTTTTTTCTAACAGGAAGGCTCTGGCTATTCTGCTGCAGGGCAGGATTCAACCTGGGTTCACTGTCCAACAGGGGGGATGCAGGAGATAGAGGGAGGTACTGATGATGGATCTTTTCTATATGATGCTTTAACCGGACAAGGTTTCCCTGCTGACAGACTCCAAGTTGTCATGGAATTTCACCCAATTCAGATTCACTTACAAGTCATCTTCCCAAAACTTCTCTGTTCAAAAGCTAAAGCACATCTCCATACTCTTGATGTGAGGACAGCCTTATTTTTTTAACCTGCACAGGACTAATCCATTCCAGAAATCTCCATTGCTATTTGTTCCACAGCAAAAAGCTCAGAAGATGCCATCATTTCTCCCCCAAAGACTAACTACATCAAACTGTGCTATTTGGTCACTGAAGTAAATTGATCAGAGCTCATTCCATCAGAGCCCAAGTGAATTTGATAGCCTTTCTTTTAAATGCAAAGCAGCTACCTGGAGCTTCATGCCCACCTGCATCTAGCACTGTGGGCACCAAAGCCTCCTAAGGGATGTCAGTGTTTGGCAAAACTATATCATCTCTATGTGGAGCAGGCAATTTGGAGTGACCTATAGCAGAATATGTATAGGTGCAAGCACTCAAAGGTAAGAAAGAAAAGTAATTTTACATCATCTGAAGAGAGAAAGAGAAGTTACTATAGTAACTGGAGGGGGTTTTTTGCAGTGCATTGTCCATAAACACATTCCCCAACTCCCATAATTCTCCTCCTTCCCTTAAGGTGCACTCTGGGATTTCTGGCATTCTGCCTTTAAGAGGCAACTGAAGAGCAGGAAATGCACTACTCTATGTTCTCAGCACAGCCAACAAGAAAAGGCAGGGTGCCTGCATACCATATCAGTACTGCTAGGGTAAAAACTTTTCCCAGCCCAAATGTTTAAGGCACATGTGCACCCCAAGTGGATTGCAGATGGACAGCACACCTCAAAGAATTCAAGTCGTTGGTAAATAAGTTCTCAGTCCTTCAGAGTGCTAATGGGGGACAGGACCACACAACAAAACAAATAAATTATGATTTACTGGAAGAGGAATTGCATCATTTTGACCCAGCTCTCCAGCATCTACATAGCTCATGCACTTCAGCAGTACTTTTTGACACTTATCTATTAGCATGGCTTTTTGGCACTTTAGGTCAGCTGAAGCATGCGAGCTATACAGATGCTGGGCAAGCCAGGTCAAACTTACGCATTTCCTCTTCAGGGCATGTACTGCACTTGTGCAGGGGTGCTGAGCTGAAAGTAAAGCTCTGGGGTTTTTTTTTTCCTTTCCTCCTGTGTCTGTAGCACCCCGTTATTTCTCCTGTATGCAACTGGTACTCAATTCCCGTAGTCATTAAAAGCAGCATCATAGCCATCCTAATACTATATATAATTTCACTTACCAATGTACTCTCCATCCAGACTCCACAGACGAACTGTACAATCTACAGAAGAAGACAACAGCACTTTTTCTTCCTCAATAACTTCTAACCTAACAGAAGACATAATCAGAGTAAGTATGCCTAAACAATTGCATATATTGTTGCACACCACTTCCATTTTTTGTCATTAAAAACCTATTGTATCACAAATAACTGACAAGTGGTTACTTATGACAATGACAAAGTTTAAACATGAAATGTTGCTTCAGTGCCATTAAATTTGAAGGAAGTCCAGATAAGGAAATATCTGACACAGCAGATTTCCAATAGCACCCAAATGCCATAAATTGGACTTCCTATTATTTGAAAAGTAATCACTGTACAGGAACATCTTGTAAATGTGGAGAATGGATTAGGGATCTTGGTCCATGAGTGAGGCTCCTATGGATTGCACAGTGTAAAGAAACTAACCTAATTGTATTTATACAGAAAACATTTGCTTGCAGCTGTAAGCATTTTTTTTTTTTGCTATGTAATTTACACTGTTCAAATTGGATAAGAAAATACTTACGACACAACCATTTTTACATGTGCTCTCCAGTGGTTCACATCTACAGCAATATTTAAAAATAAATCTGTATTACACATCATTTATAATACACAGATATATATTAGCACAAAAACATTGAGTGTCAATTCAGATAGGAAATATTGTGTACAGGCCAAGCACAAAATCTGTGTAGCAAGAAAACTGAAGGACATCCTTGCCTGGTCTACAGCATTTTTTTAAAGTGCAACAAGGGGTTAAGGGGGTTTTTTGGGAAACATTTTGCAAACAGTTCATTTTCTGTTACTATACAGCTTCCACTAAAACACACAGGTGCAAATATTACTTTTTTTTTTTTTTTGCTTTAGAAAGCTGTGGGGGGGAAATTATGACTAGAAAACGCACTTCGTTACAAGAATAATCTAAACATGAGGGAGAAATATTAATAGGCAGAACTTATGAAAAGGGGTTTGTTTTTAATCCCTTTATCAAGGTCATGTATGCTCCTACACCCAGGCACTAAATAATCTGTATATGTAACAATTTATATGGGCACACAAAGGTTTTCTGCATACGTCAAAACCCAATCCACAACACATACATTTTGGTGGTCCTTGCTCTGGATCCCCAAGGGCATAATCCTTTACATTGTAGACACACACATATCCACTCTCGTCTGCTGCATAAAGAAATGAATCATCGGCAGTGACAGCAATGCTGCTGGTCTGGGATTTCACTCTAGACTGGGACCAACATTAATGCAGGCTGGATTGTTAGCTAATAATTCACACTGGATGATAATGTACTATTGATCATTTTAATACTAATAAATTACAAAGGAAATAAATTACAACATACAGATGGCTATAATAAATCCAAAAGAGCAAATATGTAGTTCTCAAACAAACCACATTTCCTCCCCTATAGAGACAGTTTAATCAAACTCCGAGAACTGTGCCAAACTTAGTTCTACATAAGCTTGCAAATGCCATTAGCCAAACTTACAGGTATAAAACTCGCTGCAAGTGGAACTGCACTGAACAAACTCCAGAAGTTAAGAGAACCTGAAAAAAAAAAAATGGGCAAAAATACTTCTTAAAACAATTTTAAAAGGTTATTAGGAAAATACACATACAGGGGCTGAATTCAGACAGTGAGGCAGACATTTTAAAAGGGACATGGAGAATTTAGAGGAGGTCCAGGAGGTACATGACAAAAGACAAGCCATTTAAAAACAGGTAGAAAGAAGTGTAGGCACTATCAGCTTGCAGAAAAGGGGAGAGAGGATATGGTAGCAGTCTTCAAATACTTGAAGGGGTGCCATCAAGGTGGAAAATACCTTCTCTTGCTGCAGAGGAGGTCATGGACCGATGGTTTGAAGTTTCAGCAAAGTCAGTGTATATTGGATATCCAGAAAAACTTCTTAATTATTAGAACCATGAGACAGAGGAATAGACTGCCTAGGGAAGTTGTGGATTCTATCACTGGAGGTGTTCAAGAAGAGGTTAGACAGCCACTGGTCAGGGATGCTCCAGGTGTAGATATGCCTATGTTCTATGATGGGTATTTCCCATGCTTATGAGCTTTGCTGGTTGCCACGTGGGGCCACTGCTACATATCAGGGTTTGAGGGTGTTTTTGTTTTGTTACAACCAGCTTTCTTGGACTCCTTTCACCCTCATACTAGCCTCCCAAGGGATCCTGCCCATCAGTTTCCTGAGTAAGTGGAAGTCTGCTTTCATTTCCACTGTGAAGTCTGAGTGAAGTCCAGGGTCCTTACTCTGCTGCTCTTCTTCCTTTTTTTCCTCAGGATCCTGAACTCAATCACTTTGTGGTCACTGCTGCCCAAGTTGCCATCCACTACTACATTCCCTACCAAGTCTTCCCTGTTTCTGAGCAGGAAGTCAAAAAGAGTATGGCTCCTAGTTGGCCTCTCCAACATCAGGGAGTTGTCCCTAGTGCTCTCCAAAAACTTGCTGAATTGCCCATGCACTGATGTATTGCCCTCCCAGCAGATGTCGGGGTAATCTGAAGTCCTACATGAGAACCAGGTCTTGTGATGTAGAAACTTCTGTTAGCTGTTTGAAGGAAGTCTCATCCACCTCATCCTCCTTGTGGATGAGGAAGATGTGGAAACTTTCTTCTGGTTTTGTTTTTTTTTCTTCTGGGGGTGGGAGGGGCAGGGCTTGGTTTTCTTTTCTTTAAAGCCTTCCTCAGAGGCAGTGGATGTTGGCTGCAGCCACTAGCAACATGTAGGGGGTACACACGGGTGCATGTGCACCCCCTAAGATTGGCAGTGTGCCCCCTGTGAAAACCACCGCCAACACTGCTGGCGGCACCTGCAGGCAGTCGCTACTCACCACTGACACCTTCAGCATATGTGGGCAGTCCCCAATTACCACTGGCTGCCACTGCCACCACTGCTGGCAGTATCTGCAGGTGTTCACCATGACCCCCCAGCCTCAAGGGTTGCGGCATTCATGGCTACAGCCAAGGCTGGGGATTTTGGACCGTGTGCCAGTGCTCCTGCTGGGACTTAAAGCCAGAGTTTTCTGTCTAGAGGGTTTTGCCCTTATGCTCAGGGTTAGACCAGGCACCACACATAGGGTCAGGAAGGAATTTTACCCCATGGTCAGATTGGCATGGACTGCGGGGGTTTGCCTTCCTCTAGCAAGGGAGATGGCCCTCTTCCTGGGATCTCTTAAACATATATTAACAACCTCTGTAACAGCAGGACATGGTCCCTCTCCTTTACCTGTGGCAAGTTAGGTTGTTATGTCTTGAGTTGCATCAGGATTGACTGTAGTTTCATTAACAGGTTAGACAATGGATTTGTATGGGATGGCTTGGATACGGATGATCCTGCCTCAGGCAGGGGGTTGGACTAGACCACTGGAGGTCCCTTCCAGCTCTACTTCTCTATGGGCACTTTTACATGTGCTCCAGGGGTGAGAGAGTGGAGGGTGCTTTAATTAGACTGGTTCCAAGAGCCAGTCTAATTAAAGTGCTGCAGCAACTCATGTATCAGCATCTCCATGCTTCAAAATGGTGGTGTGGGCGTTTGAACTAAAGCTCATTCAACCTGCCACCACCCCCACCGCCATTTTGAAGTATGGGGACACTACTGCACAAGACACGGGAGGCTGCTGGAGCACAATAATTACCACACCCCAGCAGACTCATAACTAAAGTGTGTCGGAGCAGCCTCTGTGCTCGTGTACAGGCACCCTCTGATTCTATGATCTTAAATTGGGTTTCTGAACCACTCCTAGTCCACAAGGCAATTGCTAGAGGCCTGTGGCTACTTCACTGTTCACGTAATTATGCCTCTGCCTTCTCATTTCCAGCTATACATGGATACTTGATTTTAATTCAGAACTTTTCCAATATTACTTTTCCACATAAATGATTACTGTAATTGCCTGCGATTACAAAAAGGATAGGAGACATCAATTAAACCAGTGGGGGGCAACCTTTTGGCATGCTGCAAACCCCTACACCTTCCCTGAGTGCCCTTTCCCCTGCCTGATCTACTGCTCTGCTTTTCACTCTTTGCCCTATCTGCTACTGTGCTGCCTGTTCCCTCACCAATCTGCTGCCTGCCATACAGAAAGGCTGTCCATGCCACAGGTTGGCCACCCTGACTTAGACGTTCCTTATGGGAAAAAGGTATAAAAGAGAATCTGATCATAGACTTCTCTTCAGTTCTACTCCCAGACAGACCCCTGGCACTGGGATTTCTGCAGAAGTCCTCATGGTTATGCTGCACAATACAACTGCAGCCAATACCAATAGATCTAGAGTAATGGGCTCTAAAGAGAAAGCTGCTTTACTGTCTCCAGCTGAAACACCCACTGGAACTAAAAGGGGATTTGTTATGATGCTAAACCAGGGAATAATCATCTTTTGACTTTTTTCTGGAAAACTGTAATATGGTCTATTCAAAATAAAACCCAGAAAAGGAATCATCTGTGACAACCTTATCCCTGGGAGCTGCACCACACTGCAGTGTGAACTACAGTTCTTGATTCCTACCTTGAGGCCCATTGGAAATGAGAGATGCTGCTGTACATCCTAACTTCACTGCACGAGTCCTCAAAAATATGACATGTTTAACACTTGGGTCTACAGCTGGGGATGGAGAGAGATTAAGATTTAAGCAAGCTTACAAAGAACAAATGAATCTTATTAAACATCCCCCAATTGCTCTCCAGTTGATGGATAAATTCACAACAAATAGGATTATGTTGCATCAGCAAGTTGCTCCTCCCATTTCCCACTCACGGTATTTAGAGTTGCAGCTATTACATTTGCACTTCTCACTTTTTCTAGGTTGATGTAATGTTCAACTCCATCCATTAACTGTCTGTGTTCCTTTTAAGAAATAGTTAAGCTCCCAGAATACTGACAATAAATATATCGGATGGTTTTTATTAAAGCTTGTAAGAAAAACCATAGATGGAAAAATATTCCATTAGAAAATGCATTTCCACTGAAATTCAGAGTTTTGAAAAATTGCATCTATTTTGATAAAATTTAGTTCTGGGGGGGAAAAAAGGAGAGAAGTTCTAACAAGTTGGAGTATCCCAGTTTGTCATTATAGAATAAAGCATTCCAATCTTTTCTTTCAAAACAACTTTTCATTTTGCCAAGTTTAGAATGTACTGTAAACATTTTAAAATATTTTACATTCACAAACCATTTGAACATATCTCTAGCATGAGACAATTTTTGAATTTTCTCTTGCAGACAATGTCAACTTCTTTGGAGGGGGAAGTGTAGGTGGGGGGTGGGTCTCAGTTCAAGCTGGAACAAAAACAAATGGTCTATGAAAAAGCGAGTGAACAGAGACAGCAAACAGGGCAGTTTGCAAGCAGTTCACTGGGAGAAAGAGGAGGAAGGGGAAGAGGAAGTGGAGCCAGGCACTCTGCTCCTGAAACGTAAGGGATGCAAGGTTGCCTGTGTATTTGGCAGCTGAGTGTGTATTTGAGTACGTGCTCTGAGCAGCTGGGAGTGCTGATAGCTGGACAATTGCTGCCTGTGCCTGACAAAAGCCCTAAAGGGGCTGATCAAGTCCAGACCCAGGAGGGTTTAAAAGGAGACTCCTCGAGCAACCAGGGCAGTAAACAGGGCAGTTTGCAAGTCAATTTTCCCCTCACCCTCTATGAAGAGGAGTCTTTAAGACAGGAGCAGGCAAAATACAGACCTTGGACTGGATCCAGGTCACTGGGCGATTCCATCTGGCCCGCAGGGGCCCTGTAAGGGGAAGAACCATGACCGTGAAGGTGGGCTCCCCAGGGCAGGGGAGATACCATGATCTGGAAGGTGGTTGTCCCTATTTAATTGTTGGAGTGATGGAGGTAGTGGAGCAGAATGACGAGGCTAGGTTACTGGAGGAGGCAGTGAGGAAGCGAGCTTTGATTCTTGAAGAGTATGGACCAGCAAGCACTTCATCTAAGATCCTGTTAGCTTCAACTTTGAAGATGTTTCTGGTGAGCTTTCTGACAGCATTGCTGAGGAGGAGGAGGTGGTTGGGGATTGGTCCATGGTGGGCCGAGGAGGTAAGGTGGTGTCTTCAGAGAGGAAGAAGAGTTGTGATGTTGCTGGGTGAGAAGGTTCTAGAGAGGGGGCGGTCCCACTGCAGGAAGAGAGGCAGAGCTCTGCAGAGAGCAGTAAATCTTCACGGAAGGCCCCAGAACCTTCCTATTGTTTGTGGGAAGGAGACCCGCGAAGAACAGTGAAGCTGTGTGTGAAAGCCACTCTGAGCCCAGAAGGGGTAAAGGGGAAAACAACCATGCTGAGAGCAGACTTTATGACCAGGGTGCTTTTCGAGGACTTACATGTGAACCTTAAAGATTTAAGTTGTGTGGTGGTTTTTGATAATTTCAGCCACTGGAATATCGCCTTCTGGAGGTGAGAGGTGTATGCGGCCTTCTGGGCCCGGTACGCGGAAGTGGCAGACAAGGAGGACTTGCGGGGTCTGCATTTTGAAGCTGGCCAGAAGGCACGGGAGAGAGTTTTATACTTTAAAATGTATTCAGACGACCTAGAGTATGCAGATATGAGAAGGTGGCTGGAGGGGCAAGTTGAAAAGATCCTCAATATTCAGCAGGTCCTGGACCAGTGGCAAATCTGGACCAGGGCAGAGAGAGCCAGAGTCATCCTAGACGAAGACCCGAGACACCCCGGTGGGGTGAGACACCTGCCTTCTGTAGTATCCATAGGGCCCCACTGCGGGCACGTGACCTATCATGGCCAGCCGAAACTGTGTAGCAGGTGTGGCTTGGTGGGGCACCTCGCTGCCTTCTGTAGCCTGACAGTTTGCTACAGGTGTGGCGGCATGGGGCACCAGGCCAAAGCCTGCAAACAGGAAATGAAATGCACCATTTGTGGAGGTGAGGGGCACCTGCAGCGCCGGTGCCCCCTCTCCTACGCAAACAAAGCACGAGAGTCGCACACAGCAGAGGAGAGGGATAAAGAAAATCCAGAGGATGTGGAGTCCAGCAACTTGGATATGGACACCTTCATAGTGGAGGAAACACCAGAAGCGGAGCAGAAAGGTGACGTGATCGAGGCGGCCAACCAGCTCTTCGAGTCAGGAGGAGAGGAACAGATGGAGGAGGAGCAGAGCAAGGCAGCAGGAGAAGGGGCACATGAATCTGACTCAGCAAGCATAGACTTGGATCTGTCTGGGGATAAGGGGAAAGAGCCTTCCCCTGCAAAAAGAAAGAAGAAACAGAGGGTTAAACCAAAGAAAAAGAGAATAGAGGAAGAAGGGGGAAAATGGTCCATGAGACAGAAGGGACTGCACTGGAAAAAGACAGGGGGAAGAGTGGGGAGCTGCCTGTGGAGGGACAAGAGGTTGAGGAATCTGGAAGGGCAGAAAGTTATGGCTTTCTGAGCCCGACCATGATTAAACATCTGGTTAGGGCTACGGGGGTGCGGAAAGTGGGAGAAGACACCTCAGAACCCAGTAGCGGCACAGATGATTTATGAGGCATATTTCTCTCTGGAAAATAGCCTTGATGTCATTGACCATAGCATCCTTAAATGTAAGAAGTTTATATGGGAGGCAGAGATGGGATTCAATGTATACCAGCTTACAAGGCCTGGACACACAGGTGTTCGGCTTGCAGGAGTGCGGGATTCCCTGGAGGAGAAATTATAGATATCTGGAGAAGCACTGGGAGGTGGGACCATCATGGTGGGGGGGGTTCAAATGAGAATAAAGTGGCAGGAGTAGGGTTCCTGGCAAGGGAGGGGGATTTGAAAATTAAAGACCAGCAGGTCCTGGAAGAAGGGCAACTGCAAAAGGCAGTGGTTGAGGTGGAGGGCACGGAGGTGACTTTGTACAACGTCTGTGCCCCAGCTGAGAGAACAGAGAGGGTGCGCTTCTTCCGCAAAATGGGGACGTGTATGGGGGGTGGAGGACTGCGGATCGTGATGGAGGATTTTAATTGCATACTTGAAGAGGGTGGGCGGATTGGGATAGGTCAGGGAGTCGGGATGGATAGTACGGGGAAGTGGCTGCGGGGGTGGATTAAAGATGAGGGGCTCCAGGATATTTAGGAAGGGACAGGAGTGTTTACTAGAGTGGATCCGGGTGGGCGGGGGCAATCGAGGATTGATTTTGTGTTGGTGTTGGAGGGGTTGACAATCCGCAGCAAGCAACTGATAGACGTCAGCTTCTCGGATAATCATGTCCTGTGGGTAGAAGTGGGCATCAGGTGAGGGCTTAAACAGGGGAGAGGGGTCTGGAAATTAAATGTGTCCTTACTGGACGACCCACAGGAATGCATTGCCTTTCAAAGGGCGTATCGCCAGTGGCAAACTTTACAGCCCTTTGTCCCCAATACAGTGGGACTGGTGGGTAGAAATCAAGAAGCGTGTGTGGGAGTGGTTCACTGGTGTGGGGAGAAAGCGAGCATGGCAGAGGAAGAAGGAGCTAGCGCGCTTACAAGGGGAAGTTCAAAGATTGTGGGAAGAGCTGAAGAAGGGGGCAGTGGTGAAGGGAGAATGGGAAAGGGCGAGAGAGGGAGTGCAAAATTGGTTCCGGACCAGGATGCAAGAACGGATGTTCCTGGCCAAGGCGGAGTGGGTGGATGAGGGAGAGGAATGGGGCAGGTTTTTCGCCTTGCAGGTAAGAAGGAAGAAGTGGGTGATGGGGGCGGTCCGCATGGCCGACGGAGGGAGGGTGGAGGACATGGATGGAGTATTGCGGGAGGTGAGTAGGTCTTACGGGGAATTGTTTTGTAGGAAAGCGGTGAGGCGAAAACAACTGAAGGGACTGGCGGGGAGTTTGGAAGCAAAAGTGGGGGAAGAAGGGAGGCAGGGTCTGATAAAGGAGTTGACGGAAACCAAGATGCTGGGGGTCTTGAGGACTATGCCATTAAAGAAGACCCCGGGAGGTGACAGGATCCCGGTGGAATTTTATGGGAAGTTTTGGGATTTAGTGAAGGGGGATCTCTTGGCCCTGTTTAAGGAAATTATGGATCGGGGTCGGGTAGGGGAGGGCTTTGCCCAGGGAGTCGTGGTATTGATCTATAAGAAAGGGGGACGGGAACACATCAAGAACTGGAGGCGGATCACCCTGCTGAATTCCGATTATAAATTATTCTCCAAGATCCTAGCGGCAAGGATCGGGGAGGTGTTACCGCAGGTGCTGGGTGCCGAACAAATGTGCGTGGTGGGGGGGCGGCAGCCGACACAAGCACACTGGATACTACGGGATATGCTGTCGTACATTACTGACCGGAAGTGGAACATGATAGTGGCGAGTCTCGACCTGCAAAAGGCGTACAACAGCATTGGGCACGAGTTTCTGTTTCGGGTTCTGGCAGGGATGGGGATGCCAGGGGAATTTGTGGGGTGGGTGCGGGCACTCTACGGGAGGGCAACGAGCAGGGTGCTGGTGAGGGGCTTCCTGGGAGAAGCTTTTGCAGTGAACTCAGGGGTGAGATGAGTGTCCGCTGTCACCGGGGCTCTTTGTGCCATTGAGCCTCTGGCGCAGCGAATCAGAAGCAATAGGGTGATCAGTGAGGTTAGAGTGCCGAGGGGCGGAGAATTAAAAGTCCTCCTGTACATGGATGACGTGACGTGCGTGGTGTGGGACGAGGTATCCTTAGGAAGAG